GTGTTGGTGTTGTACAGCCCGTTGAGGTTCGCCTCGTGGCAGTTAAGGTCACACACACACACACACACACACACACACACACACACACACCTGGTGGTTGGTGTTGGTGTTGTACAGCCCGTTGAGGTTTGCCTCGTGGCAGTTAAGGTCACACACACACACACACACACACACACACACACACCTGGTGGTTGGTGTTGGTGTTGTACAGCCCGTTGAGGTTCGCCTCGTGGCAGTTAAGGTCACACACACACACACACACACACACACACACACCTGGTGGTTGGTGTTGGTGTTGTACAGCCCGTTGAGGTTCGCCTCGTGGCAGTTAAGGTCACACACAATCACACACACACACACACACACACACACACACACACACACCTGGTGGTTGGTGTTGGTGTTGTACAGCCCGTTGAGGTTCGCCTCGTGGCAGTTAAGGTCACACACACACACACACACACACACACACACACACACACACCTGGTGGTTGGTGTTGGTGTTGTACAGCCCGTTGAGGTTCGCCTCGTGGCAGTTAAGGTCACACACAATCACACACACACACACACACACACACACACACACACACACACACCTGGTGGTTGGTGTTGGTGTTGTACAGCCCGTTGAGGTTCGCCTCGTGGCAGTTAAGGTCACACACACACACACACACACACACACACACACACACACACACACCTGGTGGTTGGTGTTGGTGTTGTACAGCCCGTTGAGGTTCGCTTCGTGGCAGTTCTTGTACCACCAGCCGCCCCGGTAAGACATGGCGCAGCGCGTGATGAAGGGCTGCGGGTCTCGGTCATGCGTGGAGAACGGGCGCGCGTTGTGGTATGACATCGCGTCGCCTGGCAGGAACACACACACACACACACTGTCATGAGTATACCATACTACACAAGTACAGCCTCATTCTTCCTATCTATATTGGCATGTTATAGCGAGAAAAGTGCTATATAAATGTAATGAATTATGGATTATTATTATGAGGTTCAGCGCGGAGTGTGTGTGTGTGTGTGTGCCAGACTCACCAGCTGTAGAGCTGAGTGTGTGTGTGTGTGCCAGACTCACTGGCTGTAGAGCTGAGTGTGTGTGTGTGTGTGTGTGTGTGTGTGTGTGTGTGTGTGTGTGTGTGTGTGTGTGTGTGTGTGTGTGTGTGTGCCAGACTCACCAGCTGTAGAGCTGAGTGTGTGTGTGTGTGCCAGACTCACTGGCTGTAGAGCTGAGTGTGTGTGTGTGTGTGTGTGTGTGTGTGTGTGTGTGTGCCAGACTCACCGGCTGTAGAGCTGAGTGTGTGTGTGTGTGTGTGTGTGTGTGTGTGTGTGTGTGTGTGTGTGCCAGACTCACCGGCTGTAGAGCTGTGTGTGTGTGTGTGTGTGCCAGACTCACCGGCTGTAGAGCTGAGTGTGTGTGTGTGTGTGTGTGTGTGTGTGTGTGTGTGTGTGCCAGACTCACCGGCTGTAGAGCTGAGTGTGTGTGTGTCTGTGTGTGTGTGTGTGTGTGCCAGACTCACCGGCTGTAGAGCTGAGTGTGTGTGTGTGTGTGTGTGTGTGTGCCAGACTCACCGGCTGTAGAGCTGAGTGTGTGTGTATGTGTGTGTGTGTGTGTGTGCCAGACTCACCGGCTGTAGAGATGAGTGTGTGTGTGTGTGTGTGTGTGTGTGTGTGTGTGTGTGTGTGTGTGCCAGACTCACCGGCTGTAGAGCTGTGTGTGTGTGTGTGTGCCAGACTCACCGGCTGTAGAGCTGAGTGTGTGTGTGTGTGTGTGTGTGTGTGTGTGTGTGTGTGCCAGACTCACCGGCTGTAGAGCTGAGTGTGTGTGTATGTGTGTGTGTGTGTGTGTGCCAGACTCACCGGCTGTAGAGATGAGTGTGTGTGTGTGTGTGTGTGTGTGTGTGTGTGTGTGTGTGTGTGTGTGTGTGTGTGCCAGACTCACCGGCTGTAGAGCTGTGTGTGTGTGTGTGTGTGTGTGTGTGCCAGACTCACCGGCTGTAGAGCTGAGTGTGTGTGTGTGTGTGTGTGTGTGTGTGTGTGTGTGTGTGTGTGTGTGCCAGACTCACCGGCTGTAGAGCTGAGTGTGTGTGTGTGTGTGTGTGTGTGTGTGTGTGTGCCAGACTCACCGGCTGTAGAGCTGAGTGTGTGTGTATGTGTGTGTGTGTGTGTGTGCCAGACTCACCGGCTGTAGAGCTGAGTGTGTGTGTGTCTGTGTGTGTGTGTGTGTGTGTGTGTGTGTGCCAGACTCTCCGGCTGTAGAGCTGAGTGTGTGTGTGTGTGTGTGTGTGTGTGCCAGACTCACCGGCTGTAGAGCTGTGTGTGTGTGTGTGTGTGTGCCAGACTCACCAGCTGTACCCGAGTATCCAGAGACTCTGATGGTAAAGTGTTTCCTTGCACTGTCAACGGAGAACGAGGAGTAACGAGCGTAAACGGCCTCGTCTCCGGCTCTCAGGTCCACTCTCAGGGCCACTGGACTCGCTTTAGTGAAGTTATGAAGCAGCTCGTTCCCTAAAGCAGGAGAAGAGCCGTCAGTCCAGCAGAGCACACACACACACACACACACACACACACACACACACACACACACACACACACACACACACACACACACACACACACACACACACACACACACAATCTCTCTCACACAAACACACACACACACACACACCATCAATCTCTCTCACACAAACACACACACACACAGCTGCTTAATGACACAGGAATGTGTGATATTTCAGATATTAACTGGTTTAGTCTCTCACCGAGCCAGAATTCCCCATCCAGCGCTCCGAATCCACTGCTGTATTCCCGCCAGCTCCTGAAGAAGTTCGTCTTCCCGTCCTTTCTCCGCTGAAACACCTGGACACACACACACAAACACACACACACACAGATAAAAGACGAGCCACTCTGCTAAACGGAAAATGTCAAATATTACTAGTTTGTTAAAGCAAACATTTCTATTACTGTCACTCATTCTGAACCGCTGGCGTGTGCTTCACATGAACCTCAAACACGCCGGTATTCCACCGGAGATAGTTTGCGGTTTGATATTCTGATTTATTTTAGCGGTGGTCCCGCAGTGCGGTGTCGTAGACATGCAAATAATATCTCATTTCGATATTCGTGATTTGTGAATTCGTGTAACGGGTTACTCCTGTCCGACATCAGTGTTTTTTTTCTTCTGAAATTTTATTTTAAATTGGGTATAGCTCCAAAAGTAGGTCACTTAGAAACCTGAAACCAGTGTCATCTTGACATTCTAGATTTGTGAATTTTCTCACAGCAAAGCTTTTGTCTGTAAACTGTTCGCTAAGTCCGCTAGACCGGAATGTTTTCATGTTTAACAATGTAATACCAAATTATAAAAAACACACACACCGCTGGTTTACAAAAACACTTGTTTTAGATTAAGCTTGATTTGTGAAAACTTTCACAGGACAGTTTGGGTCAGTTAACCCTTCGAAATGAGATATTATTTGCATGTCTACGACAACGCACTGCGGGACCACAGCTAAAATAAATCAGAATATCAAACCGCAAACTATCTCCGGCGGTGAACCCTGACTGACGTGCCATTCATCAACAGATCGTGTTTCTGAACGAGTCTTTAGGTGAAAAGACCATAAGAGCACATGAAGTGTGTCTGAAGACAGCAGCGCTACACACTCGCTAGGAGCGGCTTTTCTTCGTGGAAGTTTTGCATTTGTCGAGCTGATAAAATATTAAAACTCAGTCGAATCGATATTTTGTGTACAGTTATTTAATTACGCCATCCAGTATCGCGACTCGCTCTCTCTCGTTTCACACAAACGCGGCGGCGGCCATTTTGTGACTATTGTTTTGTTCACTGTTGGTTTAATCTGAAATCAATATCTCTGATCTCCATAATTATTAATGTGTTGAAATGCTGAGTAATAAGTGTTATGACCGTGTCTCTTAAATGTCCGTCTAGTTTGATCTCGCCGCTGAAACTGCTCTCTCCGCGAAGCTTTGCGTTTAAAGAGATAATACAATATTTCAACTCAGATCAATATTTCGTGTCTAATTATTTACTGAAGTATCCGTGTAATAAGCGGATAATCTACATCCAGCCGGTTGTTATCTCAGAATAAACCCTTCAGGTGTGTGTGTGTGTGTGTGTGTGTGTGTTATCTCAGAATAAACCCTTCAGGTGTGTGTGTGTGTTATCTCAGAATAAACCCTTCAGGTGTGTGTGTGTGTGTGTGTGTTATCTCAGAATAAACCCTTCAGGTGTGTGTGTGTGTGTTATCTCAGAATAAACCCCCTTCAGGTGTGTGTGTGTGTTATCTCAGAATAAACCCCCTTCAGGTGTGTGTGTGTGTGTGTGTGTGTTATCTCAGAATAAACCCCCTTCAGGTGTGTGTGTGTTATCTCAGAATAAACCCCCTTCAGGTGTGTGTGTGTGTGTTATCTCAGAATAAACCCCCTTCAGGTGTGTGTGTGTGTGTGTGTGTTATCTCAGAATAAACCCCCTTCAGGTGTGTGTGTGTGTGTGTGTGTGTGTGTTATCTCAGAATAAACCCCCTTCAGGTGTGTGTGTGTGTGTTATCTCAGAATAAACCCCCTTCAGGTGTGTGTGTGTGTGTGTGTGTTTTCTCAGAATAAACCCCCTTCAGGTGTGTGTGTGTGTGTGTGTGTGTTATCTCAGAATAAACCCCCTTCAGGTGTGTGTGTGTGTGTGTGTGTGTGTGTGTGTTCAGGCTGATGGAGACCTGATCCTGATCACCCTGTCGGGTTTATTCTGAGATAACAACCGGCTGGATGTACATGATCCCTTACTTAAAACTGAGCCAGTGTCATCAAGTCATCCCAGTCAACCACTGAATTATTCTTAAGTACAGAACGCTGAACTGCTCCCGCCTGTCCTCGCTCCGGATCACCGGATCACCGGATCACCGGATCGCTATAGAGCGGCGAGGAGCCTCGTACCGTCCAGCCGCCTCCGTCCGTCTCCATGTCACAGTAAACCATCAGAGCCTTTCCCTCCCGGCCCTGCGGAAACACATCCACGATCCCTGACTCCTGCGCTCCGTTCTGCTGCTCCTGGGAGCAATCAGCGGGAAACGGGAACCGGAGATTCCCTGAGGAGAGAGAGAGAGAGAGAGAGAGAGAGAGAGAGAGAGAGACCATGAAAACACATCCAGCTCAAGATCAAACAAACAACTGTGAAAATAAGATTTTTGGTGACACTTTATTTTGATGGTCCCATTTGAACATTCTAATAACTACAAGTAACTTTGCAACTACATGTCAACTTATTCTAAGTCTACTACTCTATTAACCCTCTAATGAGAGCTAGTAGAGATGGAGGTGCAATGCTACTTAAAGTAAAAAAAGGGACCATGAAAATAAAGTGAAACCAGACGTTTTCCACAGAAGGAGAATGCAGTGCATCCTGACTTCACAATAATAATCAGTAACGCAGTAACATTAATAAATGTTTTAAAGGGGACATATCATGAAAATCTGCCTTTCCCCGTGTGTAATCGCCGCTTCTGCCGACACAGAACACATGATCAGTGAAACCCAGGAACTCTGTTCTGGTGAGCCTTTCTCTGAGAGCATGACAAAAAATAAGCCGATCAGATTTCGCTCCTTCTGCCGTATGAAGAGGATCTTATTATAATATTCCTGGCCCTTAAGGCCCTTTCAAACCGGACGCGTAACGAAAAATCGAAACGGAAAAGCGAATAGTTCGCGTCAAATCCATTCACATCAGCCGCGACGCGCATTAGCGACGTTCATAGCTTCAACATTCCAAAACTATCACGCCGACAGCTGAGAAAACACGGACACTTCATCATCATCATCATCATCATCATCATCATCATCATCATCCAGTGAAGACGAGCTTTTCGTTTTCTTTATAAAGACAGAAAAGAAGGTTTTGTGTGCACCCAATCTTAAAGAACAGAGAGTCTGAAGGGGAGTATGCTAATCTTGTAAAGTAGCTCAAACTTTGCCACAAAGAACCGGCCAAAGTAAGGATTATGCATTAAACATTTGAATTGTTTATTAATAAACTAGTGTTTTCTGTCAGTTTTCGGTATGAGACGCGCGCCAGTTCACGCGCCGGCGCCTCCGTGTCCTAATTATATTGTCTACTATATTTGCTTCTTATTCCTATTAATCCAGGCAATTTGTTGATGAAACATTGATTAAAATTAAGATACAATTTATACAAAACGAAATTCACTTTAAAGAAAGGCTTTCTACAAAACAAAACTTAATAAGTGGCCAAAATTATGTCTGACCCCTTCCAAATGTTTTCGATATATTGGGCATCTTATGATCCTTACTCATCTCATGCGGTTCCCTTTTCATATAGATCATCAACATAGATGAAATAAAAAAAAAATAGCATTATATTATTTAAACGTATGTTTGAGTTTTTTAACTTATAGGCCTGTTTAAGCGTCACCGCTCTGCTTTATTTACGCACATGCTCTGGTGTGTGGCCTTTACATGCATGCAAAAATAATATGAAACAACCATGAATGTTGAAAATATTCTGAATCAATTATTTCCCTCCTAGTCAAAAATATAATAAATCATCAGCAAGCCCTTCATCAACTCGCCGGAGACACCAACTATCCCAGCTATTTTATCCCATGCCTCGTTCTTTTGCTGGTAAGAAACACCGTCGTGTCATAATGATAGAGTACGCGTGCGCTGAGATGCGGAATAGGCAATATAAAAATGCTGTCAGTATAAAAGGTTTCTTGTTTCAATGTATTGCTTGTTTTTAGTTTACATTTCATGTCCCAGATAGCACAAGTCTATTTGATGTGATGTTTACATCTGGAAGACGTATTTTTAAGAGTGTTTGCTCATCTGCAATACGTCTGACGTTTCCTGTCAGATGTCAAATAGACGTTTAGAAGACGTCTTTAAGATGTAATGATGTAGAATGCATGTTAAACTGACATCTTCTAAACGTCTATTTGATATCTGACAGGAAACGTCCTATAAACTTGTGGTATCTGGGGTTGTGACACTTCTCTTCTCTCGCACATAACGCTGCTACGTCAGAGCGGCCAAAGCGTCAACAAGCGTCACCTTTGTTTCCCTGTATGTGATTGGCCTTTTCTGTCGCCGCAAAAGTAAAAAAAAAATCGACATCGAAGCGAAAAAAAAGTCGTGTTTTCGCCGCAGCACATTCGCGTTCGGTGTGGAAGCACTCGTTACACACACAGCTGATCAAAAAATAAAACTATCGCGCGAATTATTCGTGCGTCAAAATCGCGTCCAGTGTGAAACGACCTTTACACCGTGTCCTAACTACACGCGACGCGATAAAATTCCAGCGACAGCAAGTGTGTCTGTTCACACTAGACGCGACGCGACTGTGAGACGCCACACGTCAATAAAAAATCACAGCCATTCAGAACAGCGTGTGGGCGGAGTCGCCTCGCATTGGAAATGGGTAAGGACATAATCAAATCAAGAAATAACATTATTAAAAATCAAAACATTAACAAAATATACTCATTGACTAATTTTGTTATGAAGTACAGTTGTATGTTTGCATAGAATTCAGTTTGAACACTATATTATATGCTTTCAAAATCTGAGGTAAATTATCCATTATCGCTTGTGGCACAGTAACCTATTTTTAACTAAATAAATAATGTGTACTCATAACCAGTGTAATTTCTTCATATGACAATCAGTTTGTTCGATCTTGTTCATAGGGAAATTCATATCCATCCCGTCGCTTTATTATGGATGGAAGGAAAATTATATTCAAACTCAAATGAAACAATATTCATGACACGCAGAACTTCCATCCAATGAGATCTCTGTGTGGGCGGATCTGTCAGCCGCGACATCGCAGAAATAGGAACCGTTTCTAAATTAGAAACTTCGCGTGTCGCCGTCACGTCTGGTTAGGACAAAAACTCTGATTAACATGGAAAAGATACCTTTTATCGCGTGTCGCGGCGTCGCGTCGCGTGTAGTTAGGACACGGTGTTAATCTGCACGTTCACACACACCAGCGACATTGGGTTCGGCGAGCGCCAACAGAGACCAGTTCTAACACACTGGAGAAGATCCAGCAAAGCCTGAAACTGTTCTGTGGTCGAGCACAGACGACACTGAACACTATTGACCAGAACATGTCAGCGCTGTCTTATAAACACCTCAGGAACTGTGGACACTTGTGGAAGAGTTCAACATGATGAGGAGATGATCAGTGTAACTCCACAACAACTACAGAAATGTCTCCGCTAACATTCAGAAACGTGTAAAAGTGAAGCTCTCCCTGAGTCTCTCCGTAAGGCTGCACTCGCTGCTGTTACTCCTGACTCTGGATCAGTGAGATTGGCCTGTGTTGTTATTGCCGGAGTCTCTGAAGCTCCGCCCTCTTCTGAACGGAGGCGGAGCTAACGCTCATTTGCATTTAAAGGGACACACACAAAAACGGGGCGTATCTGCTCACACCCAAAAAAGGGCAAATTTGTAATAACTGATCTGGTGTGGGGGAGCTCTCGGCCACACACACACACACACACACACACACACACACACACACACACAGTACCGGTGCTGAAGTCGGTGGAGACGGTTGTGGAGGAGCTCTCGGCCCGCAGGACAGCTGTGTATCGGGAGGACGGGATCAGCCGGCTCAGGTTCAGCTCCGTCACTGTGGGATCGACCGTCACTTCCTGTGAGGAACACACACACACACACACACACACACCATCTTACCACCGCAGCATCACTCACTCATCACTCACACTGATCACACGCTGGGTTTCTCACCTGGATCTCCTGGCCGTCTGTGAAGTAGCTCAGCTTGTAACCAGTGATGGCGGAGACAGGCGGTTTCCATGACAACAGTGCAGTGCGAGGCGTCACCTGACTGGCCTTCAGATCACGAGGACCTTCCACTGTTTTACCGGCACCTGCAACATACAGAGGATTCCAATGAGAAGCGATGTTTAGAACTATATCTGTATGTATAGTTATTTCTGGGCGTGTTTTAGTGAAGCGCTGCAGAGGTTCCGGCCCGACAGCACAGTGTGGGCTCAGTGCTCCGAGCTCGAGGCTATCAGCCCCGCCAGGCCCGTTTACAGCCCTGCTCGCACCAGCCCACTGAGGACAGTATCTCTGACCCCTGACCTGTGGTGACCCCTGACCTGTGGTGACCTCTGACCTGTAGTGACCCCTGACCTGTGGTGACCCCTGGCCTGTGGTGACCTGTAGTGACCTCTGACCTGTAGTGACCCCTGACCTGTGGTCACCCCTGACCTGTGGTGACCTCTGACCTGTGGTGACCTGTAGTGACCTCTGACCTGTGGTGATCCCTGACCTGTGGTGACCTCTGACCTGTGGTGACCTGTGGTGACCTCTGACCTGTGGTGACCTGTGGTGACCTCTGACCTGTGGACTTGTGGTGACCCCTGACCTGTGGTGACCCCTGACCTGTGGTGACCTCTGACCTGTGGTGACCTGTGGACCTGTGGTGACCTCTGACCTGTGGTGACCTCTGACCTGTGGTGCTGAAGCTTGCGGTGGCCCTGGAGCTGCTCAGATCTCTCAGTCGGCTCTGGATGCTCACGCTGTACCGGGTCGAGGACCTCAGCGCCTGCAGCTGCTCTTCTGCTGCGTTTCCGGACACTTCCATGGTTATCCCAGGGGCTGATGGAGGAAACACAGGAGGGTCATCTTTCAGCAATGCTGAAGTGTGTCAGTGCTTTCTTTTCTGACAAAGCATAAACCACATTTTAGCTTACCTGCGTCCGAGCTGTACTCGATGATGTAATGGTCGACGGTTGCCAGGGCGGGTCTCCATAGCAATAGCGCTTTACTGTCGGTGACGTTTATGACCCGCAGGTCTGTTGGAGGATCCGGCACTGAGGGACACACATGAGATTACCAACACTGATCGAGGCGCCCAGACAGCAATATAGAGTCGGCCCAGATCCGGCCCACATCTGGGAATCTGTGGAATCTGGGCCGGATCTGGGGCGACACCATGTTGCTGTCCGGGGAGTTATCCTGCGGTGACTTGAAGTTTGCTTTTGATCTGAGTGTCTGAATGGGGCAAAAGCTTTCTATGAAATGTTTGTGATCATGTTAAGGTCAGCCCTACAAACACACCAGTAAAGTAGTAGTCAGCATACATACTAGAAGAGTTGAACAGTCGTTGAGCAGATGCTTTTAATCCAAAAAATGTTCTAGTTAGTTTTATACTGTACAACATTTCAACCCACCAAATTAGTTTAGTTGCTGCCTTACATGTAAGTGTAAGCTGTGATTGATCAGTCTCACAGCTCCCCTGTACGGGTGTGTCTGTAATGACTCACGGGTGGTCACGGTGTCTGTGATGGAGTCGCTCTCGTCTCGGCCGAGCACCGACGCCACGCTGACCTCGTATGAGGAGCCGGGAGACACCGGAGCGAGATCCAGGCGGAGCGTCTCCGAGTCCACACTGACAGAGACCGGCTCACCTGCCGACACACACACACACACACACACACACACAGGGTTAGTAACAGCAGGTGCTTAAAGTCCCTCGGAAGTCAAAAGAGATAATTCGCATTTTTTATGGAATGTATATATCGGTTCCTTGTAATCTTGAATCAGAATAACTTCCCCTTCTCTGATGACGAGGGCGGGGCAACCTGTCACTCACATGAGATCAGCCAATACCAAACCACAACCATCCAATCATCCAATCAATTCCACATGGACAAAATCAAGCCCCGCCCACATTTGTTCTTGTTCCAGATGCGTTTCACTCAGATTTATATGAAAGCTTGTTTTCGCCACAGAATAAAACATTTTAAAACATAATTGTGACTTTTTATCTTACAATTGCGAGTTTGCATCTCAAAATTTTGACTTTATTTCTCAGAATTGCGAGATATAAACTCAAAATTCTTACTTTATAATTCACAATTGCGACTTTATATCACGCTATTCTGAAAAAGTCAGAATTGCGAAATGTAAAACTTGCAATTGTGAGATAAAAAGTCGCGTTTACCTTTTTTATTTTTTATTCTGTGGCGGAAACAAGCTTCCATAGATGTACGGCACAATAGGAAAGAAAAACACTACCGTTATTTCCCTTTCATGCTCAACCTTTTATGAAATGTTAATCACCAAGCTCAGGACGCCAAAATCAGTTTTACAGTCTTACAATTTATTCAACCCAAAATCATGCAATAACAGGACTGTGGGACACAAGCTGCCGTGAGTGAATGCGACGTGTGTTTCTAAAGGGATTTGCGCCTCTAATGCTCCTGTGAAACTGAGGTTTGCGTTACCTTCTTGTACGTGAGTGTGTGTGATCTTGAATCCGGACACCTTGCTCTTGGGTTTGGCCCAGGACACGGTGAAGGAGCTGTCGGTCACATCGCTGAAGACCAGATCCGACGGAGGCTCCGGGCCTGAGCGGGACATCAGACACAGCTCAGACACACAGACACAGAGACGGAAAGAAAGAGAAGAAGTTCCCAATAGAGAGTCCTCAGAAGAAAGGTCAAGGATAGGGAGAACAACAAATAACGTGAGGTAAAAGATGTAAGGATGAAAACAAAACCAGAATAAAACATCAAGCAGAACTTGTTTACTTGCATTCACAAGTCCCTGGTCTCTGTGCAAACCCTCACACACGGCTGTCTACGGGTTATTTCAGGGACAACATGAGTGTATATATGTGCAGTCGAAACATATATACAGTATATAGGCCAAGGCCTATACAGAGTCCACAGAAACCTGGCTGTTAATGACGGACACGAGATCCTGCACAGAAAACACAAGCATGATATGATGATGCTGCTCATTTCAACCTGGAGAGGAGAAGAAAAATGCAAAGATGAAATGAGTGAGGAAGTGAAGGAAACACGTGAACAGCCGTCAAGGCATGTCATGACAGAAGCACAGTTGTGTTGTGTGGGCCAACATGGAGCGGGTTACGCGAGCCGAGACTGAAGAGCACGGCCTTACCCTGATGGAGAACACATGAAGCTCTGGCTGACCTCAGCCTGGGTGAGAGAAGACCAGCGCTGGTGAACATGTGTCTGTCATTAGATTATACTGATCCCTCAGTTTGTAAGATGAACAAAATCATATTTACAGTGATGCATTTGCCAAGGTTTAAAAGCAGAAATGTGAAGCTGGCGTTTTTGTTACACCATCAAATAAAGAATTGTGTTTGAGAGAACCGAACAAAATGATTGAAAATTGTGCCATATTTAGAATAGAAATATCATCCTTATGTGTGGATTCAGCTCAGATCTGATGAAATCATCACGCAGGCTGTGTGTATTGATTCTACACAACTGTTATTTCACGCACAACATGTGATTCATTCAGTTTGATTTGTCTTCATTTTTACAAACAGAAGGACAAGCTGAAATTATTTTGGCAATCAATAGTTTCTAACCCAGAGTATGAACTAAAGACATTGCTTAGTCATTACATTAATCAGTAGTAGCTCTCATATCAGAAACAAAAAAAAAGATCAATTAACAAAATGTAATGTTAAATTAATTCAACTTATCACTGATACACTACGGCCGTAATAGTTAAAGTGTATTTGTATAATCTAATGTTAATGTTAGTTATGAACAGTTAGTTATCACCAAATGAATGAGACAATGTTAAGGTGAAACTAATGAACAACTCTTTTTTGTTCTGTTGATATTCAAGACACACATTTGCCTGATGAGAGTGTGTGTGGACGGACACACTGACACACAGTACATTCTAGACTTCATTATTTAGCATGCTTGTTTCTCTTAACTCTTTCCCTGACAGAATTTATTTTAAAAAAAGTTTGCATCATCATTTTCACTGAACTTTCATCATGGCCCCAGAATGTTTTGTTGTATCTGAGCAGAGCCTCTGCTTTAAAAAAAAGAAATCTCGCATTATGATTTATTTTTTATCAACACTTGAATGTGGGTAATAAAAAAAGCAACATTTTGCATAAAAACACAGTTCGAGTCGATCGAGTCATCAACTCCTCAAAGCTTCAGTCGTTAACTCTTCCTAGTCCAACAGTTCATTCAGGAACATTACGCAGCTTTACATTTATAGCTGTTTAATGTTTGATGGTCGTGTTATTTTACATGTGTTTTGACCCTGAGGTTCAGTATTCGTTCAGAAGATGTGTGATAGCGCCCCCTGCGTGTAACAGTGAAATCACGGATAGCCACAATACTCTCACACAGGGAAAGAGTTAATGTGCTGCTCAGTGTGTCCACACACACCGTCCACAAAAGACCAAATGCACAGGGTTAGCACATATGAGTGTTATACTCGTACATGTATTAACATTTACACACTGCATGAATCTTAATCAAATCTTTGCTTTGATTAGAAGCTCCTGATAGGCAAGAGTGTACGGGACACTGAACAGCAGGGAAAGCAACGGTGCCAAGCAGTGAAACTGAAGACATCCGCTCAGAGCATGTACAGATTAAGGTTTAGCAGTGTTGGCTTCTGGTTTTGAGTACCTGTATGAATGATGAGGTTGTGAGTTTTGGAGCGGAACGCAGGTCCCTTCCCAAAGATGGACACAGAGTAGCGGGTCCGCGGGCTGAGGTTGGTCATGTGGTGTGAGCGGGCCGACCCCGGGAGAACCGTAGTCGTGTGTCCGACACTCTTCTTCATCTCTGCACTCGGTGCAGTGGGTGCGGGTTCATGGACTGCAGCTTTGCCTTTGCTCAGACTGTTTCTCTCGGCTAACCCATCATCAGCGTCTTCCTCGCCGTTTCGTTCGTTTTCTGGTCCGAGCTCGGTTTGAGTGATTATGAAGTGTTTGAACTTGTCCTCCGGAGCAGCCCATGTCAGATCCAGGCCTGTGGACGAGGCGTTGACGACCCGCACATGCTCGACCGAGCCGTCTGAGTCGCTCAACACATTCTCCTGGGTCTCATTATCCACTTCCACTAGATGGTCTGTGGAAAAAGAGCTATCGGAGTTGCCTTTTCCATACGGACTGATGTTTGGGCCCACTTGAGTGGTACCACTGTGTTTTATTTGGGAATGTGTGCTGGCGGCCCCATCGGTCCTGTTGATCCCTGCATTTGGTCTAATCCTAACTCTAGTGTTGTTCTCAGTAGCCGAGGTTAAGGCAGGTTTCACAGGTCGGGTAGGACTGATGGTCCTGTTGTTCCGCATAATGGGTTTTGAAGGGAAAGCTCGTCTCATGGGTCCTCGGGAAGGGTGTTGAGGCGGCTCCAGAACGGGCCTTGTGCGGTTCTGAAAAGGATTGACATTGGGACGACGAGGAAAGGAACCCCTAAAAGACGTCCGCCGAAACGGCATCACATCTGAGGCTTCAATGCCGGTGTTTTTTATTGCAGAGTCTTGTTTCGAGAGGAATTTGACTGGTAATGGAGTTGTGTTCGGGAGTTCAGGACTTGGTTCCTGGATTTCTCTTGTGGCTGGAAATCTTGAAGTTGACACTTTCGTCTCTACAAGGTCTTCTTTTGGAAAACCGGAGGCAACTGAACTAGGCCAAGATGGACGCTTCTCTTTTTGCACCTCTAAAGATGATGAAGAGTACGGCGACCTAAAAAGTGTGTGTTTTGGCCTAGTTGGCGGTCTGGGGATGGACAGTGAAGAAGCCGGGATAGGGTTTCTTCTCGCTGCTCGTTCTGCTGTCGGCGGGTCTCTCGCCGTATGTGGATTCCCCGTCTCAGGCCGAGCTGATGTGGAGACGCGAGGAGATGTGCTGGCGAAGGACAGTGTCGTCTCAGGACGTCTCGTTGAATAGGGAGTGGCATTCGCATTATTTTCATCCACCTCTTCATCAACTTCCACTTCTCCTTCTTGCTCCTTCACACTCCTCCTGGCCTCAGAAGTCTCCGCTTTAGGTTTAGTCTCGTCCATGTCATTGACTGTAGACTCACCCGTCAGAAGCTTGTGTAAGAGCTCGTTTCCGTTCACATGGCCAACTATAATGTTCAGGTTTTTCGACAGCACATTGCCATCGGACATGTTCCCATGTATCCTCCTGTACCCGACCAAAACCTTCCGGACACATTTTGTCCCATTTTTATAGGCTGTCAGGTTTTTTTCTGTTGTGATTATCGGCTCTTCGGTTGTGAAAGGCAGTGGGGTGGATGTGTGTTTGTGAACGCTGGATCTCGGGGTCTCGACAGATTCCCTTCTAAACATGGTTTCGATGTTCCCCTTCTGAGATCTTGTCTCTTTCATGGTCAGTTCCAATGGTTTGCCACCAGAAACAGGATAAGCCGAGTCGACATTCGGTGTTACTGACCGATTTGAAGAAGGCACAACAATTCCCCCTTTCACTCCAATCTGGGAGGAATTGAAATGTTTTACTCCTAAACTATAAGGTCTTCTTGTGATTTCCGGCTGTGTACCGGGTTTGGGAAGCATCCCATGCATTCTCACGGGCAGTGGTCTTTTTTGCCCTGGTCTAAGAAGTACGCCTGGTTTGAGTCTGCTGGTGTTCCCTGTTCTTTCTGAGTTTTCAACCTTTCCTTTAGTCACCTGGCCGCTCAGCGCTTGCTTTCGCAGGACGAGTGTTGTGTTTGTGAACCTCGGTGTCTTTTCTCTGTTGTTTCCAGGCTCCACGTCCACCTGCACGTTGCCCGTCCTCATGGTCATCCTGGTTTCAGGCACTGAGACATTCCCTAAAGGCACGAATCAAGTGTAAAATTTGGATGCTAAATTAAACGTCCCAGCTGCAAATGGAAATCCTGTTAAAAGAAAGGTGGTGTTAATGCAACAAGTTAAGTCAGTTATCCAAACGATTCTGGCATTGGGTTTCCAGTAAATGCAGCATCAGGTCCACTTTAAGTCCTATAGAAAACCGGGGAGGTTTTTATTTTCTGCAAGAAAGAAGAAAAGGTAAAAGCTTCCTGAAGAAATAGAAAATGTGGCATTGCTGGTTAGAGTGAAGATTGTGCGTGTCGGGGGAATCATTCTTCACAATAAAACAGAAGAGAAAATGTTCCAGTCATACACATTTACACGAGGCGAAACAAAACTCTTTGCCTCGCCACAAATAAAACTCAATTCCAATAGCCTGGACATTTCCAGAGTGAGGTCACTGGTTTGTAAAGACTGGCTGGTCTACACACGATCAGTGCGGGGCTCGTCTGAATTCACATCATCTGGTAATCTGATATAAATACGTTTAACTCTATGATGACTTTTCCTTGTACTCTCATTACCTGTTAGTCCTGCTGTAGCATCTACGCTTGACATGCAAAGGGGCCTGGACTCGAACCCTGACCAAATATCAGCGCTCTCATTAGTCGGTAAATAGCAACATTTGATTGTCAAAAATTCCCAATTTCTGGATTGTCAGATACAACGTCTGGTAAAAATATTAACACAATGCAGACATACATTAAACAAAGTATATTCATAAGTGCCCAAGTTGTATGGTGTGCTAACGGAGTCCACATTTAATTAATTTAGAAATCATATTTGTAGGCCCGGAGCTGGACAGATGACATACACTAGGCTGTGTGATGTCAATGTGTGATGTCATTGTGTGATGTCATTGTGTGATGTCATTGTATGATGGCCAGTATCGCTCACAGCCTTTTCGTTGCTGTTTTCCATCTGCCAATTACTCGTTTACAAATGAAGCACTGGTTACTGGGCAAACTAAACAGATTATCTGCTTTTTTTTTTTTTTTTGCCGAACACAGATTTCCTTCCATTCCATTTCAACAAAAACACCTTCCTAAAAGGATTTCAATGTCATTTACTGGAGAAGCACAATGACAGAAGATATTAAGTCTTGTTTTCTGAAAAGATTAGTTTGTGCTCAAATCAAGAAGGTTTTGACCGTCCACAACTCTTTATACCTGCTCATGTTACAGACATTTTGCTTTAATATTTGCTGTAACAAGTTTGAAGTCACACTGCCATGTTCCCCATCATTTTGTGAGCTGTTAATAAGAATGTATGTTCAGTTTCACGCTATAATTGATCACCCTGAGACTCACCAGGAGTGGCCTGTACGGTTGCTGGCCGGCTCCGAACACTGCCTCTCTCTGCCACCAATGAGATGTCATACAAGCGTCCCGGTTGCAAGCCCTGGATCCGGGCCGAATCCCTCTCCGGCGCCAGGATCATCTCCGGGAGTCTGACGGATCCTTCCGTCTGATTGGGTGCAACGGAGAGGACGTACCTGTCAATCTCCCCCTGCGCCTTCTCCCATTGGACAACGACTGTTGTGGTGCTCGTCTTCACAACGTGCAAGTCTTTCGGCCCGGAGACCACTGTCCACAGATGAATGAACCACTAGTTAAAAACCTACTAGACAGGCTGTTGCTCTATTCTGTTGTGTTTGCATGGACTCACATGTGGTGAACTGTGTTGTGCTCTCCGTTCCCATCATGCCATCCTTCTCTCCAGTAACACTGACCATGTATTCCTGACCGGCGGCCAGTCCAACCTGAGTGTATGTGTTCAGTCTTCCGCTGATCCGGGAGATTATTTTCTGATCCGTTTCTTTCTGTGGAGAGAGAGAGAGAGAGAGAGAGAGAGAGAGAGAGAGTAACTTGAGAATAAGGGTGCCCAACAGGCCAAAACAAACTGCAAAATATTAATTGCATAAATACTGATATTTTCAGTATGTTGTGTTACTTATTTAATATTCCTTTAATATTCGGCCTGTTCTTCATTTACTGCTGTGATACAAAGAATCTATAGAGTGACTTCATTTATATTCTGTTTCAACACAAACATGAGACTTTGTAAGTATTGTATGAGTTCACTGCAATAAATGATGTTCTTCCTCAGTGTTTCTGTCTTGTTTTCCAGCACAAATATCCAAACATTCTTAAACCAAGATACATTTACTGGAGAAGCAAAATGATTGAAGATATTTAGTCTTGTTTTCTGAAAAATATCATGAAAATGAAGTGAGTTTGTGTTTAAAACAAGAACAAATATCTGTCAGTGGAGTCAGAAAAATAATCTAGTTTTCCCTTTGAATGAAGTTTATTTTTCTGACTACACTGACAGATATTAGTTCTTGTTTTAAGCACAAAATCACTATCTTGACCTTAATATCTTCAATCATTTTGCTTCTCCAGTAAATATATCTTGATTTAAGAATGTTTAGATTTTTGTGCTGAAAAACAAGACAGAAACACTGAGGAAGAACATAATTATTTTTGCAGTTTATGAACAATGACAGTTTCTTCCAGCATAAATAATGATTCCGTCTGTAATTGACACAATCCCGTCTCAGAAAGTCACGGCTTGAGAAAGTAAAGGGTTTTCCTGTGGCAATTCCTGCTTGATGACAGAGTTCCTGAGTTAAATTTCAGTAATACATTCTTTAGCTAAAGGCAGCCAATATTTTACAGATTATTAATCCTAGAGTAATATTTAGCTCATATCTTGGCAAAGCCTCTCTCCAGCTCTTTATTAGCCCTGAATTCAGTTTCAGTCCTCATTGCCAGTTCGCTGGTGTTCTCCAGTCTTATTTCTTATAATAACCATAATTGGGTCCAGGGACGGACTGGGGCTAAAAAAACAGCCCTGGACTTTCTCCCAAATAGGCCCATCATCCAGCCATTCACCCCTAGCCACTAGGATGTCCTGATACTATGCCACAATACTGTAACCTATATCAGACAAGGTATTCACAGCAAGTAATATCTCAAAAACAATGATGACAATTGGGGTTTTGTTTATTAATGAAGCCTCAGTCTTCAAATAAAAAACAACAAAATGTACAATGCCATAATATATGCATTGAAAATAAAATACAAATAATGAAATGTCACTGGCTACAGAAACCCTAATTACACAAACTTGTAATTGTAAAACATATAGTTACTATATACCAGGGGTCTCCAACCTTTTTGTGAGCGAGGGCTAAAGGGATAAAATAATCTAGAAGGGCTATACTCAAAAATATTTATTATACATATAACATGGTGGTGTTTTTTTACCTTACCTTTACCTTTACTTTTAACTTTAACTTTTTTACTTTTCACCATCATATGCGAAATAATAAAATATCTTGATATTCTGGTTCAACAATTCCTGAAAAATTTGTAATATATATATATATATATATATATATATTATTCTCTAAAAACCTATTGTAGCATAAACATTTAGTATAAATATTTAATGCAAAATAAATAAATAAACTGCCATAACTTCTAAACAAAAACATTACTGCATTACATTGAATAGCCTACATTTATAGGCCTACATGACTATTAATATAACAGCATTTTTAATATGAATACAGGCACATTTCTGCCAAAAAAATTGTTTTACTAAGTTACAGTTAATTCATAAGTTGTGGAGTGAAATGTCTTCTAACTGGTTTGTTCTTGGAACAATGTTTCACCTGTTTTTCTGCGTCAAGATGTTGAGAATATCAGCGCTGTTTAATCTGGCTTTTAACTAGCTTAAATCACAGCCATCTGTGGGTTTATAATAGAGATGGAGAATTCTGCACATAATTGAAATGCTTCTCAGTGGATCGCGCAACTCTGTGTAATAATGTTCGCGTGATCGAGATCAGTCCGCACAGCTGCTTCGGCCGCGATCGCAGTTTTTTTGGGCCGAGCTGATAATGCTCCGCGCTGGCATCCAACTTAAAGGTGCATTGCTGCCACCTACACTACTGGAGTGTGAAATAGATTAGTGGGGGGGAAAAACAGGTGATGACTGTGTGTGTGGCGGGTGGTGGCCGTCCTGGAGTACCGGCCGTTCTGTGATACTCCAGATCACACAGATGGCCAGTCCGCCCCTGATTGGGTCCAGCCGAGAGCCGGTGTGTCTACAGCTTATCTAAAGACACCAAGCAGGTTATTATAGTGTTGGTTATTATAGCCTGTGTTGGTTATTATAGTGTTGGTTATTATAGCCTGTGTTGGTTATTATTGTGTTGGTTATTATAGCCTGTGTTGGTTATTATAGACTGTGTTGGTTATTATAGCCTGTGTTGGTTATTGCAGCCAGTGTTGGTTATTATAGCCAGTGTTGGTTATTATAGCCTGTGTTGGTTATTATAGCCTGTGTTGGTTATAATAGCCTGTGTTGGTTATTATAGCCTGTGTTGATTATTATAGCCTGTGTTGGTTATTGTAGCCAGTGTTGGTTATTATAGCCTGTGTTGGTTATTATAGCCTGTGTTGGTTATTGTAGCCAGTGTTGGTTATTATAGCCTGTGTTGGTTATTATAGCCTGTGTTGGTTATTATAGCCTGTGTTGGTTATTATAGCCTGTGTTGGTTATTATAGCCTGTGTTGGTTATTATAGCCTGTGTTGATTATTATAGCCTGTGTTGGTTATTGTAGCCAGTGTTGGTTATTATAGCCTGTGTTGGTTATTATAGCCTGTGTTGGTTATTGTAGCCTGTGTTGGTTATTATAGCCTGTGTTGGTTATTATAGCCTGTGTTGGTTATTGTAGCCAGTGTTGGTTATTATAGCCTGTGTTGGTTATTATTGTGTTGGTTATTATAGCCTGTGTTGGTTATTATAGACTGTGTTGGTTATTATAGACTGTGTTGGTTATTATAGCCTGTGTTGGTTATTGCAGCCAGTGTTGGTTATTATAGCCAGTGTTGGTTATTATAGCCTGTGTTGGTTATTATAGCTTGTGTTGGTTATTATAGCCTGTGTTGATTATTATAGCCTGTGTTGGTTATTGTAGCCAGTGTTGGTTATTATAGCCTGTGTTGGTTATTATTGTGTTGGTTATTATAGCCTGTGTTGGTTATTATAGCCTGTGTTGGTTATTATAGACTGTGTTGGTTATTATAGCCTGTGTTGGTTATTGCAGCCAGTGTTGGTTATTATAGCCAGTGTTGGTTATTATAGCCTGTGTTGGTTATTATAGCCTGTGTTGGTTATTATAGCTTGTGTTGGTTATTATAGCCTGTGTTGATTATTATAGCCTGTGTTGGTTATTGTAGCCAGTGTTGGTTATTATAGCCTGTGTTGGTTATTATAGCCTGAGTTGGTTATTATAGCCTGTGTTGGTTATTATAGCCTGTGTTGGTTATTATAGCCTGTGTTGGTTATTATAGCCTGTGTTGATTATTATAGCCTGTGTTGGTTATTGTAGCCAGTGTTGGTTATTATAGCCTGTGTTGGTTATTATAGCCTGTGTTGGTTATTGTAGCCTGTGTTGGTTATTATAGCCTGTGTTGGTTATTATAGCCTGTGTTGGTTATTGTAGCCAGTGTTGGTTATTATAGCCTGTGTTGGTTATTATTGTGTTGGTTATTATAGCCTGTGTTGGTTATTATAGCCTGTGTTGGTTATTATAGACTGTGTTGGTTATTATAGCCTGTGTTGGTTATTGCAGCCAGTGTTGGTTATTATAGCCACTGTTGGTTATTATAGCCTGTGTTGGTTATTATAGCCTGTGTTGGTTATTATAGCTTGTGTTGGTTATTATAGCCTGTGTTGATTATTATAGCCTGTGTTGGTTATTGTAGCCAGTGTTGGTTATTATAGCCTGTGTTGGTTATTATAGCCTGAGTTGGTTATTATACCCTGTGTTGGTTATTATAGCCTGTGTTGGTTATTATAGCCTGTGTTGGTTATTATAGCCTGTGTTGGTTATTATAGCCTGTGTTGATTATTATAGCCTGTGTTGGTTATTGTAGCCAGTGTTGGTTATTATAGCCTGTGTTGGTTATTATAGCCTGTGTTGGTTATTGTAGCCTGTGTTGGTTATTATAGCCTGTGTTGGTTATTATAGCCTGTGTTGGTTATTATAGCCTGTGTTGGTTATTGTAGCCAGTGTTGGTTATTATAGCCTGTGTTGGTTATTATAGCCTGTGTTGGTTATTATAGCCTGTGTTGGTTATTATAGCCTGTGTTGGTTATTATAGCCTGTGTTGGTTATTGTAGCCAGTGTTGGTTATTATAGCCTCTGTTGGTTATTATAGCCTGTGTTGGTTATTGTAGCCTGTGTTGGTTATTATAGCCTGTGTTGGTTATTATAGCCTGTGGTTATTATAGCCTGTGTTGGTTATTATAGCCTGTGTTGGTTATTATAGCCTGTGTTGGTTATTATAGCCTGTGTTGGTTATTATAGCCTGTGTTGATTATTATAGCATGTGTTGGTTATTGTAGCCAGTGTTGGTTATTGTAGCCTGTGTTGGTTATTATAGCCTGTGTTGGTTATTGTAGCCTGTGTTGGTTATTATAGCCTGTGTTGGTTATTATAGCCTGTGTTGGTTATTATAGCCTGTGTTGGTTATTGTAGCCAGTGTTGGTTATTATAGCCTGTGTTGGTTATTATAGCCTGTGTTGGTTATTATAGCCTGTGTTGGTTATTATAGCCTGTGGTTATTATAGCCTGTGTTGGTTATTATAGCCTGTGTTGGTTATTATAGCCTGTGTTGGTTATTATAGCCTGCGTTGGTTATTATAGTGTTGGTTTTTATAGCCTGTGTTGGTTATTGTAGCCAGTGTTGGTTATTAAAGCCAGTGTTGGTTATTATAGCCTGTGTTGGTTATTGTAGCCT